ATTTACCAAAAAAAAATATACAATATAGACTAACTATTTATTAATTTTTTGAAAAGTTTCAAGGCTATAGTATTTCTCTATAAGCAAATATAGATGCAAAGTTTTTTTTGTCTAGTACTGTATATAATTTTATATAAATTAATCAACCAGAATTATAAAATTTGTTTATACAAATTAGTTCAAAATAAAAAAATAAAAAATAATAATTTAAACCTATTTTAAGATAATAATATGACAGGGTGAAACCCACATCGCCAAATAGTAAAACCCACGTTGATTAGTTATATCATGTAAAATTTGAGATTGCAATGTAAAATCTGCGTTTATTATTTATAATATGTAAACCTCATTTTTTTCAAATATGTTTAAATAAATCTGCTTTTCATAAAGTAAAATTTGCTTTTTTTTTGGTTTTAATATGTAAAAACCACTTTTATTAGATAAAATTTGCCTTTCCCTTATTTTATTCATAAAATCCACCTTTTTTCAGGTAGAATTCGTAACATATGATTAATTAATGGTTAGATAATCTCTTTAAGTATACTCTTTTCACTCTTCTTAAATCTCTAAGTGCACTCTAAATTTAGACTCAAATATATACTAGACTCTTATAAATGTATTTTTGTTTTTAAAAGTATTTAGAGAGATTTCTGCATATAATATATAGGAAGTTACTTGTAAGCCTAATATTAGAAAAGTACTTTGTATTGACCTTTTACTTTTGTAAGCAAACTTGATATTTACTATGCGATCTTTTTACAATCATTGCAAAAAATTTTAACAGGTTTTTGTCAGTGCAACAGGGTGGTATTTTAGTAAATCTATTAGATGATAATACAGTATTTTATATATAATCCTGATAAAACAATTCAAGCTAGATCAAGATAGACAAGTGAAAACAAGAAAGTCAGTGATTGTATGAAAAGGTTTTAACTTGAAGAACTAATTCGTAGGATCGCATATTGAGAAAATGAAGAGGTCGACTATTGTATAAAAGAATTTCAACTAAGAAGCAAAAGCAAGAAGCTGACGATAGTGTAAAAAAATTTAACTTAAAACTAATAGATCAGACAATATCAAAAAATTAGTGAGGAGGATTTGGTTCTGTATATTCTACATTAAAATTGTTACATCAGAATTACATATAAGATACCAATATTCCTTTCAAATATCATCTACCATGTAGCTAAATATAGAGATCTAATCAATTCAATAATGTGATCATACGAATTACTTCGAAGTTAAAATCTCACCATTCAGCCAAGCTACTAAATATACAGAATCAAATCTTTCTTCACCGATTTTTTTGATATATCAGTTCTGAATTAAATCGTTATATCAGAAATAGTATGATCCTTTCAATTACTATACAATCTGATTTATGAATTTGCAGAACCAAATCCCTACCGATTTTTTTTTTTTTTTTGATGCTGTCTAGTCTATTAGAAAAGATTCATTCAATACGAATTAACTCTAAGTTGAAATCTTTTCATGCAATCATTCAACCTCCTTGTTTTCACCCTAAACTATTATATCAGGATTACATGTAAGATATTATACTTTTTTTAAGTATCATTGAGGTGGACAGATAGAAATAAGGAGATTAATGATTGCACATAATCATATTATTTGAGTAGGTCTCATCTGATAAGTCTTTAGACTAGACAGTATTAAAAAAAAAAAAATGGAGAATCTGATTCTTTATATTTCACAACCTGGCTGAATGGTATTTAAAAGAAGTATGTTGTTTCATATGTAATCCTGATATCAACAATTCAAAATAGAGAAGTGAAAACAAGGAGGTAATTCATATGATCGTATTATTGAATAGATTTCATTTGATAGACTAGACAATATTAAAACAACCGGTAAAGGATTTAGATCTGTATGTTTAGTGACTTGGATGGATGATATTTGGTATCTCACATGTAATCATGATATAACAATTCAAGATAGACAAGTGAAAACAAGGAAGTAGATGATTATGTGAAAAGATTTCAACATAGATCCTATTCATATAATCTCACTATTGAATAAGTCTCATCTGACAGACTAGGTATCAAAAAAAAAAAGGTGAAATAAAATTTGGTTTAGTGTATTCCGCAACCTGGCTGAAGATTAAATGTGATTCTTGTAAACCATCTGGTATTGTTACATTCAAGACTCTGTCCGGTTTTAATTAAAATTCTCATTATTTTAAAAGAGATAAGTGATTTACTGTGCAGTTTATTAAATACATGTTATACTAATTTATTTATATAAACTTATAAGCTTGACGATTATATGAAATGCATCATACAGGGTATTAGTCTTATATATATATAGCTAACAGATTGAATTAAAGCTGTTCTATGATATTACAGGTGACCCTCGTTAATGTTAATCCATTTGGATTAGACAATGTATATAAGGGTTAACAACAAAGAGATAAAATTCATATAGTCTGAAGGTTTCACAGATCAGTATGGTATGGGTGAGCAGATCAGTATAGTATAGGCCAAAATTAAAACTATACTATACTGATCTGGTATTATATATATTAGCGTTAGTTTATGAATTATAGCTGATCAGTATGGTATGTATTTAATTTTGGCCATATTATACTGATCTGTTCACCCATAGTGTGAACTTAATTTTTACAAGTTTAGGTTGATATTAATGAGGTTCACCTGTAATTTTCAAAAGCAGATTAGCATATATTAAAAAATTAATAATATAGTAGATATTATTTTTTTAAAAGACAAATTCTTTAGTTGTTTTACTTTATTTTTTTTAATCTTTTTAATGAATTGAAATATTTGATCATAATAGAGCAAAGCTTGCTATTTTCTTTATATATATCATGTATTATCTTTTATAAATTAGATTAACTTTTGTGTGTATAATATTTTATAAATTATAGTTAAAAAATTTTTCAAAAAAAGCAAATAAATAAATAAAGCCATTTGAATAATTATTTAATATCATCCCCTCTTGGTTAATTGTCTCCAGAAATTAAACAAGCCAGTCACAACCAGTGTTTAAAATTGGCTTGCACAAAATACATATGTGTAAGAGCTTTTTTTAATGTGCAAATATTTTGTAAAATATTTATAAAATAAGCAAGTAAAATTTAAAAAAAATTGCACCAAGATTATATAATAAATATGGTATATTTGAAGTTACCTCCTATTTGAAGTTGTGATTTTAGATATTTAAAGTAGTATTTGATTAGAATTACATATATAAAGATCTAATTTCAGAGGTTTAATTCTAATTAGATATCTAAAGTTGTAACTTCAGATATAATATATATTTTGCAAAATTATAGTTGTACAAACAAAAAAAAATCTTTTACTTGTGATTGTGCAAGTAAAAAATTTTTTTTATTTGCATGGCTGCAAGTAATTTTTGTTCTGAATTTTAAACACTGATCACAACTATAGATGCAGGTGAAACTAGTAAAACTCTTGGTGAATAGCGGTGAAACTGGTGAAATTTAATATGAAAGCCAATTAAATTTTAAATAATCACCAGTTCTACCAGCATTATTTAGTTTCACCAGCATCTATAGTCACAACGCAGAGTAATATTCAATAATCATATGATTAAAGTCAACCAATAAGATTTAATTAAATATGCTGTGTCTAAAGTTTCCTCTCCCTCTCTCGAACTCAAGTCCAAATATTGACGTTAAACAACTAATCAACTTTGAACGGCCTAAATGAAGTTTACAATAACATATTCACGATAACCGTAAAAAAGTTTTGAATGAAACTATAGTGTATTTTTGTACAATCATTTAAATTTTATGAAGTCATGAATTATCAAATTAAATGAATCGAATCGTCAAAAGCTAATTGCATCTTCACAAAGATGTCAATAAACCCCAAAATATCACTCTTTAGTATCGATTTCTAACGATTATTTATCTTAATAATAAAAGAAACATTTGTAAAATGTATATAAATTAATTAATATCAGATATGTTGAATGAACAGGAGGCAGGTCTTTAGGTACAGGTTATTACTTTAATTATATAAGACTATAAAACAGATAAAATATGCTATTACACCTTTTTAGTAAATAATCTGACACACTAAAAATTTCTGATGGCAAAATACGACCAGATCTGAGTAAATTTTGGATAAATTCTAAAAGTTTACAATAAGATCGATTATTGAAAGTTGGTCTAATTATGTAGAATATCATGAAAAACAGAATATTGAACATTAAATTTATTTTTGGCCAACACATAGCGATAGTGTCAAATTATTTAAAATTAATAAAATTCACGATGTTTGTGTAGAATCTCACAAAAAACGGGATATTAACAGAATAAATATTTCACTATACCTTTTTTGGTAAGGATAGATATTCATTTTTACCAGACCCATGATAAATGTTATATAAATTGTTTAAAGTTAATTATTGTATTACTTTACTTTCGTTTAATTATATAAAATCTATGTTTTATGTAGAAATAGGATACAGTATTAACGAGATAAAATATGCCACTATGCTTTTTTTGGTAAAAAACAAACATCAATGTTATCAGACATATAGTAAATATTAATTTGTATTGCTATATTACTTGTTTACTAGTGCTGTCACGCTATACTCGAAAGAAAAAATGCGGTTTAAAGTTAAAATTTATAGTTTTTTTGCTGATTAGAAGAATAATGAGACATGTGGTAATAATGGTGAAATTATTCTACAAATTATTTAAATTATAGTACTAAATAGTTTAATTATTAATGCTGACAAATAGAATAGTAATAAAAAATATGCTGTCATGCCTTTTTTAGCAAATTTCAAAGAGAGTGATTCCTTTTCCTTATCTACTTGTAACTAAGATAAAAATAAATAAAATGAGATATTATCATATAAATTATATAAACTGTTCAAAGTTATAACACCGAACTACTTTAATGGATAACTTATCTTCTTTGTCTGTTAGCCATAACGTAAAGCCAAGTATTATTTGACATCTATTATTGCCAAATCTTCAGTGTATGCAGATGTCACTTACTGAAGTGCCCTCAGTACTAGACTTGTACACATTTAATATGACATCACCTAGAGGTAATAAGCTTAGCAAAAGTTATCAAATTTTGCCTAAAGACTGCAGAAATAGAAATCAGGTAAGGTTTTTTTGAGCAACACGAATATTTATATAAAATAGGTTCTTATTATTTTTTTTTTAATAAAGGTGCGCGAAGGGAATGTGAAAACAATTATACTTGTAGATGAACATGCAAAGCAATTATCTATTTTGACATTTGTATATGCAAAATACCTGGGGTGTTTCGCTCGGGTATGTGATAAAGAATATGATTGTTCATTTTTAGTGAGTTTCTGACAGTACTAACTATAATTCTTGAAGAATGGTTGCCAAAAAGGCAAATGCAACTAGAAAGGTTGTATATCAGTTCCCAAAGATAAGCTACTTAACCTGTACAATATTGAGTATCATAGAAATTATGATCCTGATCACGTTTGAAAAAGATCACTTCAAATATCAAGTTCTATAAGAAAAATAATCACCAAAAGAGTTACAAATATAACTCCTTCAATGTTGGCAATAGGTGAGTGCAAAAAACAAATTAAGCTTGAAAATATCCAGATTTTAATTTAATAATCCTGTTTTCAGAACTCATGAGTGGTTCAAAGGTTCTTGATATAACCCTTAATATACTGGCAAACCAAGTTCAACCAACATCTACCTAATTCGCACCCAATCTTGAGTCAATTCAAAATGCCTTAAGTATGATAAAAAGTCACATTATCCAAGTATATCAGAACTTGAAAAAGTAAGAATTAGTTTCTATTTATTTATTTATTTTTAATTAATTTATTTTATTTTTAATTAATTTATTTTCTTTTTAATTTATTTAATTTATTTTTAATTAATTTATTTTCTTTTTAATTTGTTTAATTTATTTTTTTTTTGATTAATAGGTTTGTTCCATAATAGACAAATATGAAGGTGAAAGCACGGTTATATCAAAACAATATAGTATCAAAAATGCTCAAGATCCAAAAGAACAAGCTGTACTCCTTGGTATTGCGTCTACAATTATACTAGTTCTTTTAACTAAATATCCGGACTTGCTAGCAGTAGATTCTACTGGTCATTGCAACAGTTTAAACTTCTCAAATACAGTCTTTATGGTCAGATCAGATGAACTCCATGGTCGAGTTGTAGCAACATTTGTAAGTGATAAGGAAACAATACTAGTTACTGATCTTATATTTGAATCAGTAAGTATTTTTGTGTTTTCTAATAGATTTTGTTATATAATTTAATAAATTAAAAATTTTTCTGGTTGTTTAAAGCTTATCAAATATAGTTCTAAGAATGGTATTCAATTAAACCCAAAGTGGTTAGCTATTGACAAATAGGATCTATATCTGGTAGCAGCTAGAAAATACTTGCCTAATATGCAAGTAGTTTTGTGTGACTAGCATGAGAGTAATTTCTTATAAATTTTTATTTTTTCTTTGCAAATTAAGTCTAGTATAGGTAATACCCAGTAGTGTAAATTGAATCTGCGCAGTAGGCGCAGCATATATAGATTTAAATTCGCACATATATCAGTGCTCTTCATATATATAATGTGCATATAAATTTTTTTTGTGCATATTTTTTTTTTGCGTTTGTGTCAATAAAAAATTTTTGGATTTATAGTACTAGTAATACCTCCAGTGGAGACCGTCCCAAATTAGAAAATAATTATCTGAGTCACCTGGCCATTACACAAATAATAAAAATTTTTTTTTATATATTTTATAATACTATTAGTTCCGATTGATCAAATTAATAAATTTTTGAATTATTAAATAATTAAAGGCATAACGATAATATTTAAATTAATATTATTAGTTTCTGATTAGTGATGGGACCTCTTGAGTTTTTAGTTAATAATAAAAAAATTAATAATGCGTTATTAATATTATTAACTTCGATCATCGCTAATAATCTCGAAAATATTGACACAACTTTTTGCTTTTATACATCCTGCACTAATTAGCTGCGCCATATATTATTATGTCATTATTAGTTAACAATTCGATCAATCAATTAATCATTATTAATTATTATAATTAAAGACATAATTTATTAATTTATTAAATAAAAAAAAATTATATATTTTACAACTCAAGAAATGATTTTTTTGCAAATTCTAATTCCTCTATTGTTGTATCGCCTGCTACTATTTCGACATTATCTATATTATCCTTAACGATATTTTCTCTTCTCTCATCAATAAACTCATTATTGCCTAATTTTTTTACCAAACTTACCTTTAGTGCATCAACATTTTTTTTAATTTCATCCTTAAGATAATCTAAACATATTAAATATTTAAATTGATACTTCTCTAAGCATTGATTATGGTAACCGTGCCTACAAGCAAGAACTTTACCAGAATCCGAATAATCAATGCAATTACAATTCAAGTAGTCACATAAAGTGGTTGTAAAGGGTTTTCTAGAGGTAGCAAAACCTCTTGGAAGGTGACGATCCATTATTTCGTAGCCTAAAGAATATAACTTATACGTGTTAATATTGTTAAATAAATTAATAATTAGAGAATACCGATAGGGGCTTGATATATCTTCTTAAATAAGCCTAAAAGTAATACAGCACATTTTCGAGAAAGTATGTGCAATTGCTTGGGCATATATAGATACTTGACAGAATCAACAAAATATTTTCTAAAAGCATTATCTTCGTGGTGCTGAAAAATAAAATGAGCTTCTTTCTGCAATTGCTCTGTCTCAGAAAACTTCGCTATATGTCATTGAATAATACTGTGAACAAGCTCTACGGGACAATTGCTTAAAGAGGCGAGTTGATTAGTAATTATATCCATCAATGGGTGATTGGTATCTATTCAAAAAAATATCTTAAAAAAATATTAAAGGTGCACGTTTGTAATTTTTTTGATCAAAACGAAGAAAAAGATTGCTCCAGCAGTACATACAAGCCTCTTCATAAGCTGCCCAGTTACCTTCACGATGATGCACCGCATAGACGTCAAGAACTAAAGAGATTAAATTATTCAAAAGATCGGTTAAATATAAAAATTCAATATTAGCAAAAAACTCTCTCCAACGATCCTTCAAAAAATTGAAAAAATAACAAAATAAAAGAAAACTACAGTAAAAGAACCTAAATAAAGCCAGAACATAGACAAAATTAGCACAAAACGTAAGAGAACAACCAACACAACAACCAACACTACAACAACACAACAACAGCGACAAAAATA